ATCTGTCAGGCAATCCTGATGGCTCTTCATCAAAATATACCCCGGATTGATTACGTCTTACCACCTCCACTGCTAATACCCTAATGTAAGCCACTATATCAATTATCTGGATTATTGCCATTAACTCCTAACAAACTCCCTGCTTCCAACCCACAGTCTATTCTCAACACTGCAGCCAAAGTGATGATATTAAAATGAAAATTATATCTTGTTACTATACTGCTTAAAAACTTCCAATGGCTTCCCACTACACTGAGTAAAAACCAATATCCTTACAACATCTACCACCACCCTAAACAACCCTCCACTACTTTTACTCTACACAACCCATGCTAGACTAGATTCCTAGCTATTTTAAAAATATGCTGCTTCCTCAGTGCGTTTTTGATTGTGATTTCCTCTGTCTGGAATATTCTTCCTCCCAAATACCTGAAGTCTTCCTCCCAAATACCTTGCTTCCTCATTTCCTTCCAATGTTCACTGAAATTTCACTTTCTCAGTGAGGTCTTCTGTGATCATTCTATTTAAAACTACAAAACCCACAAAAATCACAAACACTACTATTCCTTGTTTCCCTACCCTACTTAATTTTTCTCCATGGTATGTATTAATTTCTTACATACTACGAGTTACTCATTTGTCATGTGTCCATTTCCTGACTAAAATGTAATTTCCAAAGGGGAGGAATTTTGGTCAGTCTTATTCATTCACATATTCCCATTGCCTAGGGCAGTAACTAGTAAATAATTAGGTGTTCAACTTATATTTGTTGAAAGAAAGAATGAATGAATCAGTAAATAGTGAATGATAACCCTAGGAATGATGCTAAAGAATGATAGAAAGAAAGGCCTGAACTCACAGAGAACAGCGAGAAGCAGTAGGTGGGTAAAATGGGTGATGGTGGTCAAAAGGTACAAAATTCTGAATGAAAACAGAAATCAACCACAGAAAGAAAAATGTGAAAAGAACAAACATGGGGAGACTAAACAACATGCTACTTAAAAATCAATGAGTCAACGATGAAATCAAAAAAGGAATCAGAAAATACTTCGAGGCAAACGAAAATGATAACACAACCTTACAAAATCTATGGGATACAGCAAAACAGTGTTAAGAGAAAAGTACATAGGGATACAGGCCTTCCTCAAAAAACAAGTAAGATCTCAAATAAACAACCGAACCTACCACCTAAAAGAATTAGAAAAAGAAGAACAAACAAAACCCAAAGTCAGCAGAAGACAAGAAAGTATAAGATCAGAGATTGAATAAATAAAATAGATTTAAAAAAAAAAAAAACAGAAAAGATCAATAAAGCCAAGAGCTGTTTATTTTGAAAAGATAAAATCGAAAAACCTCTAGCCAAGCACACCAAGAAGAAAAGAGAGAGGACCCAAATAAAGAAAATAAGAAATGAAAGAGATGTAACAACAACCAATACCACAGAAATACAAAAAATCATAGAGAATACTATGAAGAGCTGTATGCCAAAACACTGGACAACCTAGAAGAAATGTACATCTCTAAAAACATACAGTCTGCCAAAACTAAGTCAAGAAGAAACAGATAATTTGAACACACCAATCACTAGATGTGAAAGAGAATGTGTAATTTTAAAATTCTGTCAAACAAAAATCCAGGACCAAACTGCTTCACTGGGGATTCTAACAAACAAAGAAGAACTCATAACAATCCTTCTCAAACTATTCTGAAAAAATGAAAGAGGAGGGAACCCTTCCAAATTTATTCTATGAGGCCACCATCACCCAGATACAAAAACCAGACAAAGACATTACAAAAAAAAGAAAATTATAAGCCAGTATCTTTAATAGAGTTAGATGCAAAAATCCTCAACAAAATATTAGCAAACTGAATCCAACATGACATAAAAAGGACCATGCACCATGATCAACTTGGATTAATTCCAGGGCCAGAAGGATGGTTCAACATACACAAATCAATCAATGTGATATACCACATTAAAAAAAAAAGGAAAGGCAAAAACCACATGATCATCTCAATAGATGAAGAAAAAGTATTTGACAACATTCATTTATGATAAAAACGTTCACCAAAGTAGGTATAGAGGGAGAGGGAACATATTTCAACATATTAAAGGCCATTTACAGCAAAACAACAGCCAACACAAAATGAACAGTTAAAAGCTGAAAGACTTCCTGCTAAATTCAGGAACAAGACAAGGATTCCCACTCTTACCATTTCTATTCAACATAGCATTGACAGTCTTAGCCACGGCAGTCAGATAAGAAAAGAAATAAAAGGTATCCAAATTGGAAGGAAAGAGATAAAACTGCCATCAATTGCAGATGACATGATACTCAATATAGAGAACCCTAAAATTGCCACATAAAAACTATTAGAACTAATAAATGATTTCAGCAAGATAGCAGGATAAAAGACCAATATACACAAATTGGTTTCTTTACACTAATAATGATATATCAACAAGAAGAAGTAAAAAAACAATCCCATTTGAAATGGTGTAAAAAAATAAAAATAAATACCTAGGAAGAAGCTTAACCAAGCAGATGAAGATCTATACATTTAAAACTATAAAACACTGATAAAGGAAACTGAAGATCATTCAATGATGAAATGGAAGGCCCATGGATTGGAAGAATTAATATAATTAAAATGGCCATACCACCCATTAAATCTACAGATTTAATGCAATTCCTATCCAAATATCTATGACATTATTCACAGAGCTACAACAAATATTCCTAAAATTTATATGGAACAACAAAAGACCCCAAATTGCAAAAGCAATCTTGAGACAGAAGAACAGAGCTGGAAATATCATGCTCCCTGACATCAGACTATATTACAGAGCTACAGTAATTAAAAGAGCATGGTACTGGAACAAAAACAAATATATAGCTCAATGGTACAAAACAGAGAGTCCATAAATAAACCCATGCACCTACAGTCAATCTTTGACAGAGTAGGCAAGTATATAAGACGGAGAAAAGACAGTTTCTTCAATAAGTAGTGATGGGAAAGCTGGATAGCTGTGTGTAAATTCAGTGAAATTAGAACACTCCCTCACACCATATACAAGAATAAACTCAAAATGATTTAAACACCTAAATGTAAGACAAGACACCATAAAAATCCTAGAAGAGAACATAGGCAAAACATTCTAGGACATAAATTCAAGCAATATTTTCTTAGATCAATATTCAAAAACAAAAGAAATAAAAGCAAAAATAAAAAATGGGACCTAATTAAACTTAAAAGCTTTTGCACATCAAAGGAAACCATCAACAAAACAAAAAGACAACCTATCGAATGGGAGAAAAATATCTGCAAATGATGCTACCAACAAGTAGACACTTCTCCAAAGAAGATGCACAACATAACTAATTATTAGAGAAATGCAAATCAAAACCACAATGAAGTATCACCTCACACCTGTCAGAATGACTATCATCATGAAGTCCACAAATAATACATGTTGGAGAGGGTATGGAAAAAGGGAACGCTCCTACATTGTTGGTGGGTATGTAAATTAGTGCAGCCACTATGGAAAACAGTATGGAGATGCTTTAAAAAACTAAAAACAGAGCTACCATATGATCCAGCAATCCCACTTCTGGGCATATATCCAGAAAAGACAAAAACTCTAATTCAAAAAAATACACGAACCTCAATGTTCACAGCAGCACTATTTACAATAGGCAAGACATGGAAATGACCCAAGTGCCCATCAGTAGATGGTTGGCTTAAGAAGATGTGGCATACACACACACAAACACACACACACACACATATGTATGTATGTATATGTGTGTGTGTGTGTGTATATATATATATATATATATATATATACACACACACACACACACACACACACACATACACAGACAATGGAATATTACTCAGCCATAAAATAGAATAACATAATGCCATTTACAGCAACATGAATAGACCTAGAGATTATTATACTTAGTGAAGTAAGTCAGACTTATCAAATACTATATGATATCACTTTTATGTGGAATCTAAAAAAAAAAAAGAATCTATATACAAAACAGAAACAGACTCACAGACATAAAAGACAAACTTATGGTTACCACAGGGGAGGGACTAATTAGGAGTATGGGATTAACAGTTTCAAACTACTATACATAAAATAGATAAGCAACAAGGTTTTACTGTATATCTCGGAATTATATTCAGTATCTTGTAATAACCTATAATGGAATATAATCAGAAAAAATAACTGAATCATTATGCTGTACACTTGAAACTAACACACTATTGTAAATCAACCATAATTTGTAATATTTTAATTCTTCAATTTAATAAATAAATATATATTTTTAAAAATACAAATTATAGTTATAAAATAAAGAATTCGTGGGGATTTAATGTACAGAATGATAAATACAGTTAATAATACCATAATGTATATTTAAAACTTGCTAGAAGAATAAATCTTAAAAGGTCTGGCCACAAAAAATAAAGCTTGTAACTACGTGTGGTGATGGATTTTAAGTAGAAGTATTGTAGTGATCATTTTAGTTTTATTATTGTAGTATTTTAAAGTTATTAAGAATGCTTTTCCATTCAATGATTACATAAAATCTATGCTAATAATCTATTCTATTCACCATTTTATTTAATAATAAAAAACTCAGAATATTGGGGGGAAATATCAAAAAGTATCACTACTGTAATTAGTGATATAGGTCACAAATATATAGTGAAAACATTATCCCAAACACACAAACATAGAACAAATATTTCCCTCTCAAAGGAATACAATAGATTCTAATAGTCAGAGGATATTACAAACTTTGAAACTTTTAATACTGTAAATAAATATCAATATACAGATATTATTGTAGCTGTAGCCTACAATCAACATTTTGGTTATTTAATGGAATTTCTACACTTTAGTCATGTGCATGCGTGAACACACACACTTGTGGATACCATAAACAAAAATTTAATAATCAACTCTAGTAACCAGTTACCTTGGCAATAATAACTTCTTTCTTCAGAATCTTCATAGCATAGTATTTTCCACTTGCTTTCTCTCGAACCAAAATAACTTTCCCAAAAGTGCCTTTACCTAGTAGTTTCAAATAGTCAAAATCATTCATTGTCTGAAAAATACAAATGAAAATACATAATATGAAACATTTGATGCAATTTATTTGTAAACTTATATGTATATATTTGCATTATCTACTCAAAATCAAATTTTACCAACTTCTAAGCACACTTAAATGATGAAGAATCAGAATGGCATTGGCTTTCTCATCACCAATCATGGATGCTGGAAATAATTTAAGCAATTCTCAGATAGTGGAGACAATAATTTTAAACATAGAATCTTACAACTACTCAAATTATTAGTAAGGGCAAAGGGAAAATAAAATCATTTTCACTCACTTCCAAGAACTCAAGTTTCTAAGGATTTAGTAGTGCCACTACTCCCAGACAATGTGACAATCAAAAATGTCCTCCACAAACATTTCCAAATATATCTAAGAGAAAAGGATTGAAGGGAGTGTTTGAGAATGTACTATATCAAAATAAGGATGAACTCCAAGAAGGAGAAAGATACATGTATAAGAAATGTTGAAAACAATTCTGGAGCCCAGTGCAAAGAAACAGAAGAACAACAGCATATATCTTCTGAGAAAGCAACTGGTCCAATGCAGAAGAAGGAGTCATGGAACTCTAAGAATGTTTTTAATCTGCCTGTTTTCAGTTTCATTTCTCATTCCCATTTCTAAGTAGTAGGTGATTACCAGGATTTTGCCAAGCATTATTACTATTGCTCCCCATAGCCCCCTCTATGAATGCTTTTCCTACTCTATTTATCCACAAACTTCCAAAATTTTGATAATGTTTCTCCACTAGTGTCCTTCCCTCATACAGCTTTTCATTTTTGTGGACTTGTCCCTTTTAAAACTTCCTCTGCTATTATTTTATTTTATTTTTTTTATTTATTTTTTTCTGTACGTGGGCCTCTCATTGTTGTGGCCTCTCCCATTGTGGAGCACAGGCTCCAGACATGCAGGCTCAGTGGCCATGGCTCACGGGCCCAGCCACTCCGCGGCATGTGGGATCTTCCCGTACCGGGGCACGAACCCACGTCCCCTGCATCGGCAGGCGGACTCCCAACCACTGTGCCACCAGGGAAGCCCTCTGCTATTATTTTAATAGGCTTTTAGATGAAAGAGGAGGTATGCTCAGTTTATCATCTTAAATTTAAATTCAGTTTAGAGGGATTTAAAAATAACAATTTAAGGATTTGGGGTTTTATCCTACCAACAATCAGAAGTTACTGAAGATTTTTGTGCCTTTTTAGAAGTATTTATTTCCTCTTTACCACCCATTTGAAGTAAATGTCAGAAATGTCTCAAACCGATGACGTCAGCTTCTACCTTAAGAAACTAGAAAAACAGCAAATTAAACCCAAAAGAATTAGAAGAAAAAAATAATAAAGATCAGGGCAGAAATCAATTAGGGACTTCCCCAGTGGTCCAGTGGTTAAGAATGCATGCTTCCATTGCAGGGGGTACAGGTTTGATTCCTGGTCAAGGAAGTGGATTCCTACATGCTGTGTGCATAGCACAGTGTGGCCAAAAAAAAAAGAAAGAAAAGAAAAAAGAAATCAATTAAATTTTAAGAAGAAGTAAAAGGAGACGAGGTCACGATGGCAGAGGAGTAGGAGGACGTGGAGTTCGTCTCTCCCTACAAATGCATCAAGAATACATCTACAAATGGAACAAGTCTCACAGAGCTCAGTCTGAAAGTTAGCAGAGGGCTAAGAAAGTTAGCAGAGGGCTAAGAAATCCCCATGTTACTGGGGAGGATGAAAGAAAGAAGAAGCAAAAAAGAAGAGAAGAGGTTGCCACATCTTGGGAAGCCCCTCACCGGCAGGGAGATCAGTTGGCACAGAAGGGGAGTTTCAGGGACTATCGGAAGGCGGTCTGTGGCAGGCAGGACAGAGGAAGACCTACACAGATGGTCTGTGCCACAGCCCTGTGTGCCCCAGCCTGAGACGTGTGTCCCAGTGTGGAAAGGGGTTGGGTGCTGGAATATGGGGTTTGGGGAGCAAATCCAGGGATAGGATTGCTGTTGGCTGTGAGGAGACAGCATGAGGAGATGGGAGTGAGGAAATCCACAACTGGGAATGCTTGTGGAGGAAATTCAGACTGCCATAGCAGGAAAGGGCCGTTGTTAAGTGACACAGAAGGGGAGGAGCTGCCATTGCAGCCTTTCTCCCCATGCACTGGCCCTTGCCTCCCTGGGCACTAAGAAGGGCCTCCAAGAGGGCTGGCTCTCTCACGGCATCTGGCTTCCCTACATGCCTCATCAATGCCAGGGAAGGCTCTCTTGCACCCATGGTCGAGCACTACGAAGGGCCACCACCGGGGCCAACTATTTCATGCCCGCAGCCACCGGTTTCCCCATGCACCCATCACCACCAGAGGTCCCGTGACCCTGGCTGCTACACAGCCTCCGAGCCCCCTCCTCGCCAGGGCAAACTCATATGCTCCAGGGCAGCCTCACAAGCAGACCCACAGGCAGAGGTGGGGTTGTAACCACAGCTAAGCCCCAGGGGACATCAACTAAGGAAGAAAAGCTGAAATCTCTCCTCGTAGCTATGCAAACTGTGAAATGACATCTCCAAGACTAGCCCTGTAAACTCAGAGCCTACAGAACATCTGAACAAACAAGCAGTGCTCCCACAGAAAACACACGCTTATCTTTAGCAGCTGTAGATTCTGTTGGCACATACACATGTAGGTTGGGCCAGGCTAAGGATGGAGCATGCACCATAGCACCAACAGTGGGTCCAGATACATGATTACTGCAATCCTGGGACCTGACTTCAGTGGATCTCTGTAAATTTAAGAAAACTGAAATCATATCAAGCATCTTTTCTGACCACAACACTACGGGATTAGATATCAATTACAGGAAAAAAACTGTAAAAACCACAAACACATGGAGGCCAAACAATACGTTACTAAATAACCAATGGACCACTGAAGAAATCAAAGAGGAAATAAAAACATAACTAGAGACAAACGATAATGAAAGAATGATGATCCAAAACCTACGGGATGCAGCAAAAGCAGTTCTAAGAGGGAATTTTATAGCAATACAATCTTAACTCAGGAAACAAGAGAAATCTCAAGTAAACAATCTACCTTTACACCTAACACAACTCGATAAAAAAAAGAACAAACAAAACCTAAAGTTAGTAGAAGGAAAGAAATCATAAAGATCAGAGCAGAAATAAATGAAATAGACACAAAGAAAACAAAAGCAAAGATCGATGAAACTAAAAGCTGGTTCTTTGAGAAGATTAACAAAATTGATAAACCTTTAGCCAGACTCATAAGGAAAAAAGGGAGAGGACTCAAATCAATAAAATTAGAAATGAAAAAGGAGAAGTTACAAAGGACACCACAGAAATACAAAGGATCATAAGAGACTACTACAAGCAACTCTATGCCAATAAAATGGATAACCTAGAAGCAATAGACAAATCCTTAGAAAGGTACAATCTCCTAAGACTGAAACAGAAAGAAATAGAAAACATGAACAGACTAATCACAAGTACTGAAATTGAAACTGTGATTAAAAAACTTCCAACAAACAAAGGTCCAGGACCAGATGGCTTCACAGGTGAATTCTATCAAATATTTAGAGAAGAGTTAACACTTATCCTTCTGAAACTATTCCAAACAACTGAAGAGAAAAGAACACTCCCAAACTTGCTCAACAACACCACCATCACCCTGATACCAAAAGCAGACAAAGAAAACACAAAAAAAGAAAATTACAGGCCAATATCACTGATGAACATAGACACAAAAATCTTCAACAAAATATTAGCAAATCAAATTCAACAACACATTCAAAGGATAATAAAGATGCCAGACTACAAGGACATGGAGTTCACATATCCTCACAACTAGGGCACCTACCATGTGGGGGACCACGGAAACCTAAGGGGACAGGAGGAACACCATAGCAACAGAGTAAGACGTGGTGGGGAGGGAGGAGGGAGGAGAAGTGGAGGCAGGATGGAACTGGAGCCTTGGAGGGGCGGCTGGGGGAGGGAAGGGGTTCCCACTCTTGTGAAGCCCACCCACAGTGAGGGAATCAACAGGGATGGTGAAAGACTGTCAGGAGAACAAAGGATTGGAAGGGAATGCAGCCAGTGTTTCCCCTGCCCACTTGGGCCCCAGAAAGCCTGCCGAGGTCCTAAACATCTGATCTCTGTGGTTCCCTCCAGCCATGCTGAGTATAAGCCCCGCACCCACCCAGAACCTTATCTCTGCACTTCACACTCCAAGAACCCCTCCGACCAAGTTGGGCCTAAACCTTATCCCCGCACCTCCACCAAGTGCCTTACCTCTGAACTCTGCACTCCGAGGCCCTCTCCAGCAGTGCTGAATATTCAGGTTGCATGGGTCCTCAGCCTAGGTCCCGCCCCCTGCCTAAACCTCGCTCTCAACTAAGGCCCGCCCCACCCCCACAGCCAAGGCCTTTTCCAGCATTTTTTTTTCTTTTTAAGGTTGTGGTTCCATTTTATTTTGTTGTTTCATTTTAATTTTTATTTTTTCAAATAATTTTTGAAATTTTTCTAATTTTATTTTATCCTTTATACAGTGTTATTGTTCTGCTCATTTTTTCTTCTGTTGTGGTTCTGTTTTTTTTTTCTGTTGTGGTTCTGTTTTACCTTGTTTTAGTTGTTTCACTTATATTTTTCTTTTTCCTAATATATTTTTTCTAATTTTATTTTATTTTTTATTGTTTGTTTTTGTACTGCTCCTTTTTTTGAATTTTATTTATTTTTTTCTACAGCAGTTCTTATTAGTTATCTATTTTATACATATTAGTGTATATATGCCAATCCCAATCTTCCAATTCATCCCACCACCACCACCACCCACCAGCTACTTTCCCCCCGGTGTCCATAACGTTTGTTCTCTACATCAGTCGCTCTATTTGGTCCTTTTTTTAAATTCTTCTCTTTTGCCACGCCATGTGGTTTGAGGGATCTTAGCTCCCAGGCCGGAGATCAGGCCTGAGCTCCTGTGGAGTGTGAGCCAAGCCCAAACCACCAGACTAA